TCAGATTCACACCGGACAGCCATCTGTTGGGGATGCTTTCACTTGGATTCCTGTTCTTTGCAAGAATTGGACTAGATGTCCTAAGTGGCCCCTTCCAATCCTTTGAGCCTAGTAGCTAAACAGAGGAGGATGGCAACAATGAGTGTAGTAGTTACAGAGACAAGGAAATGGCTCTTCCCTGCACGACAAGCTGCAATAACTGAAACCCCTTTTTCTATCCTAAGCTGGAGATAATCCATTCCCATTTTTAAATCTGGCCAGCCAACCATTGCCAAATGCATAAACTGTAAACCTCTCCACTTGACTGCATCCATAAAAATAAAGCCTACTGTTCATGCTCCTGGAGCAGTTCAGAGAAGGGCAGAAAGGATGATGTTGCTGGCACCTAGCTGGTCTGAAGAAAGACTGAAGACCTTGGGAAAGTTTAGCCTGGGGGAGAGGAGGGGATATGACAGCACTCTTCAAGTGCTTACAGTATAAGGATGTCACACAGAAAAAAAACCAAGACTTGTTCTGTATCACCTAAAAATACAGAACATAAAACAATGGATTTTAAAGAATTAGAGGTGTCTATATTGCCTAGGCAATGAGAGAATGTCTTAATTTCTATAGCAAGAGTGTCAATGGACCTTAAACTATGACTTATACAACAAAAAATAATATTTAGAATGTATTGGACTCCACTATGTCTGTATAGAAAAGGATTGTCAAAAACAGCATTTTGTTGGAGATGTTATATTGCCTAGGCAATGAGAGAATGTCTTAATTTCTATAGCAAGAGTGTCAATGGACCTTAAACTATGACTTATACAACAAAAAATAATATTTAGAATGTATTGGACTCCACTATGTCTGTATAGAAAAGGATTGTCAAAAACAGCATTTTGTTGGAGATGTAATAAGGACAATGCCTCTTTAAAACATATATTTTTACAATGTCCTATACTTTTGGGAGATACTGTAATGTATATATACTGTGTATATAATACTGTAATGTACTATAGTCTTGGGAGAAAGTAGTAGACTATATAAATATGATTGTGTGACAAAAGCTAACATTTTCAGAGGATAATATTCTTTTGAACTATATACCTAGCACATGGAACTTGACAACCAGACAACGTACGTGGATTCTCTGTACCCTTACTTTGGCCAAAAGACTGATATTACAACATTAGAAAGATAAATGTATGGCCCCATTTAGTCAATTGATTGAAGACCTGATTACACTTGCTACTTATGAATGGACTGCCTATAGACGTAGACTTTGTATGGACAAGTATAATGAAATATGGGACTCATTTATACAAAATATACTGGGTTTAAAAAAAGCAGGTTAGTCATATAACTATTAGAAATATATATGTTCCTGAATAATATTTGTATTAGATAAGCATATATAGAATTGTAATTGTGTACTGTAATGATATATTTACTTTTTTGTGGTTGAATTCACTTTTATGTTAAAGCACTTTTATGTATTTTTCCTTTTTTGTAATTAAAAAAAAAATTAAATTAATTTTTAAAAAACCAATGGATTTAACTCATGGAACAAAGGCAGATATTACTTGAATGTTAGGAAATGACTCTTTCCAATGCTATGATTCTATGACTCAAATGAGGTGAATCATAATACCAATAAGGTAGACAAAGACCTTGACATCACCAAGTAACTCATTCCTTGACATCAATGACCCATTATCACATGAGTAGAAGAGCTGGAATAAAACCAAACAGTCCATATTTTGCTCAAGGTTTGCTGTACACAGGAATGTAAGAAAGGACCTGCTGATCAGGCCAAAAATCAATCAGATGCCTCTACGCAGTCCATAAACAGCACATGAAGGCAACTCCATAAGATAAGTCTCTCAGATCTGTACACTGAGATATATTTTGTGTCTTGTGTGCGTTTCTGCACTTGCTCAGAAGAAGTGGCTCTACACAAGGGTGCAAGTACTTTTGATGTTCAGGGAGTAAGCCTTTCTGGAATTTGAATGGGAGAGAATGGTTTACATTAAAAAGAAAGTTGATAATTCTTAAAATGGCATAAGACCCTTCATTGTTTTTTCTCTAAGACACTATTTTAACCATATGTTGCAAACAGGAGAAGGATTTCCCACTGCAATCCAAGCTGTATTTTGCAAGGGCCATTTGCTGTCTGACTGATCAAGAAACTGATCTGTCAGGAGTATGAGTTTGGCTTCTTATTTTCATCAACACTCCTTTGCATTTTTCTATTCATGCTTCTATTAATATTTTACACACACACCTTCATATTTCTCTTTCAATCTTTATTTTCAAGCAGTACTGCATGTATGTATGTATGTGTGTCCAGGCCCATAGTACACAATGTCTAAATAGTGCAGGCATCTTTTTTAACCCTCTGTGCTACACTCTGTACAGCCATTTCCAAACATTTGGCTAGGTCAGGAGGGATTAATCTGAGACCCTGAAAATATTTTGGACTACAGCTCATACAATCCATTGCTGTTGGCCATGTTGTCTGGGGCTGATGGGAATTCAAGTCCAAAACATCTGGACTTTCCTAGGGTGATGAAATCCCCTCTTTTAAACATCCTCACTCTTGAGAAGCAAATTATATTCCTGAATAACTGGTTAATGAATAGAGCTCAGAAGGCTGCTGATTTTGGCATCAGTTTCCCAATTTTTCTTGTTCCCAAAATTCCTAAAGCAGTTTCCCAAAAGTACACATTTCCAAATTTGCTTGTGTATTCCTGCCAGGAGCAGAACTGTAGGCTCCGACTTCCATTATTTTAACGTTTCTAAGAGCCAAAAGGAAAGAAGGGAAACCCTGCTGGCTCCATGCCTATACTGTGAATGAATATAGCAGTCATGATGTTTCTGCATCATCTGAATGTAAGGGTAGTTCTGGAGGACACTCCACGCATCCCGCTCCATTCAAACTCCCATCTTGCAAGGAACACTGAAAATGTGCAGAGCGCCTTCCAATGCCAGCTACACAGAGCACGTGCACAGCTCCGGACCCTTCTCTGTGTTCTTTCAACACGAAGAAGGGGAGTTTGAAGCCCCCTACATTTAAATAATTACAAGCAATGACAATTTATTTTTTTGTAATTTTATTGAAGTTTACAAGTATAAAGGTAAAAGACGAATACAAACTAAGAAAAATATAAAACGGGAAGAAAAGAAAAAAATGTGCAAAGAGAAAAAAAGGAAAAAAATAAGAAAAAAGATATATAAAATGACTCCCTCCCTCCCTCCAGACAAGTATAAACAACTTCAGTAACTTAACACCTTCTCTAGTATTTCAATTAAAAAAAAATCTCTTCTTCTCATATCTCATCTTTTATCAATAAACAAATTATAAAAACTCATCATTCAGTCCTATTCAGCAAAAGTCCATTAAGAGCTA